TGAGGCTCTGGACTCTCCCAAACTTGAAGGCCTGCTGGGCGGTGTAGCGGTCGAACTGGAAGTGCCCCTGCGGGTCTCTGTGGCGGAGGTGATCCACAAAGGTCCTGATGATGGTGGTCATCAGGTTCTCCTCCACCATCAGCATCCGGGCCTGCAGAACATTTGAGACCCACACACGTACAGACGTGTCGTTCCTCATGTTCAGTGTTGGGCCTGTTATCATTTCGATCTGTGTTTCTTTGCTTGTGACATTTATTTTGGTGGATTCTGAAGAATTAAACTTTAAAGGTGATTGATCTGATTATTAAAACTATTATTAATACATAATATATTAATAATAATTAGATCTCTTATAATTATTGATTATCAACTAATCAGCTTTCAGTGAAACTTCAGGGATGACTTTAGATCATAACATTTTTTCAGTGATGTCTGACAGTCATCCCACTTTAAACAGACCAGGTGTGAACTCAGCCGGTGGGATGACATCTACTCCGGCGGCAGCCACCTGAACTCACCAGTGACGGTACGGTGAACATTTGCACTGACAGGTCAGTGATGGAGAACTCACGGCCGTGGTCGTCTTTCACATAGTCGCTCTGCAAGCGTTCGTAATTCTAGCAGCGGGAGAGAGAGGGGGACACAGAGAGAGAGAGGTGTGTGGAGGTGCAGGAGGAGTAGGAGGAGTACTCACCATGGTCGGGACGGTGAAGAGCTGGACAGACAGCGACGTCACTGACACCACTCGCTCGTGGTCGTCCTCCATAAAATCTGTCTGTAGGCGTCTGTAGTTCTGGAGGAGGGACGACATTTCACCTCTGGGTCAGAGGTCGCTGCTGTCCGCCCAACACCCCACCACCACCCACACACTGACTCCTTTAAAAACCTGTCGCTAAAACTCTGATATCTTTAAGACAGCTCACAAAAGGAAGGTGTACCAAGACTTCTGTTAGTTCTGTAAAGCGGACCTTAGCACAGCACATGCACAGCAGCGACTGGTTCTTTAATCAAGATCAGCAGCAGCTGTAGGCGATCACCTCAGCATGACCCATTTTATATTATTTATGTTTCACAGACTGGAGGGTTATTTTCAGTCCGAAGGCCGATCCCTGTGAATAATATGTGGACATAAGTGCTTTGATCACTGAAGTCTTTCTGTCAGTCGACTTTTTAATGATTCATTTTCTAGCTGAGTGATCACCAGCATCTTTAACGTCAGTGAATTTTTATCCTGGTATATCATCCTATCCTTCTTCAAATTGGGAATCACCAGTCTGCCAATCCAGAGGTATTGCCCTACATCTCCATGCAACACTGTAGAGACGTGTCCCACACAGCCCTACAACATCTGAGCCTTCAGAAACTCACAGCAAACCTCGTCCACCCCAGGGGCTCTGCCATCAAGGAGTTGTTTACCTGCCTCAGTGACCTCGCCTCCAGTGATGGATGACTCACCACCCCCATTTGCTGCTTCCTCTACAGAAGTTGTATCAGTGGGATTAAGGAGGTCCTGGAAGTATTCCTTCCATCGTCCAACTACATCCTCAGCTGAAGTCAGCAGCGCTCTACAGTGCGGGTAGAGCGCTGCTTTCCGGTCCCGCGTCGCCTTTTGAGCTAAGGCCTGGCCACACTCCCATTGGACACACTTCCCAGGCCTGGCTCCAGGACGGGGTCCCAGTAACCGTATCCCAGGCAGGGTGAACTCCCTTGTTGTTAAACTCATAAGGGTCTTTTGAATATCTCTTTGCCTGGTTCCTGACACAGGACCAATTTGCCATGGGAAACCCTACTAGGAGGCAAAAGGCCCTGAGAACATAGCCCCTGGGTTCCCTAGGACAAACAAACTAGTCTACCACACTAAGACAGCAGTTCATGGAGGGGTTAATGTGAATTATGGCTCTCTTTGACAGGACACACTTTCCAAAGTGAGAAAAACCCCAAATTAATGAGATTTATGGTTTATTTTGGCAGCGTAACCCCTTTTCCCTGTTGTTTTTGTCTGCTACATGAGCATGCAGGCTCTACACCTCAGGGTTGCTCTGTTCTACTTTGTGATGTCTTGCTGTTCTGTGTATTGTGACGTTCTGTTTCGTTGTTTATATGACACTGTTCAGTAAAGTCTGTTTCAATGAACAAAGTTCACTCCAGAGGATCTTTTTGAGTACTTTGATTTATTTGGATCTAAAAATTCAATCGACACATGACTGGCTGGATGAAGTTTTTCATTTTAGCTGTAAACAAGCCAACAAGGTCATGTGGTGAGGTTTTAGGCTGTTGCACTGAGGAAACAGATGCTGCCAGGGAATCACAGACCATCGAGATTCTACTAACATAAACCCCCCCAGACTATATAAACCTCCACAGCTGTCACAGGTGTTCCGATCAGGTATATACACTCACCAGCCACTTTATTAGGTATGCCTGTTCAACAGCTTAATGCAAATATGTAATCAGGCGATCACAGCGCTTCAGCTCAGTGTATTCGGACATGTAGATATCAGACGAGCTGAAGTTCAAAATGAACATCAGATTAATGAAAGAAAGTGATTTAAGAGACTTTAAGCGTGGGATGGTTGCTGGTGTTTCAGACTGCTGATCTGTCATGTTCCCACCAACCATGTCTTAAATATGACAGTGAGTTTGCTGTATAAGGGCCTCCACGGTCAAAGATCTCAGTGCAGCAGAGCTCCTCTGTGCTCAGATGGAACAGAAGTTCTCATCATGTCGTGTCCACATGGACCAGCCTCTCTGAGTGTTTCCAGCAGCTTACTCAATCTGAGCCGTGAAGAATTAAAGCAGCTCTTAAAGAAAAAGGAGAACCAACCAGTACCAGCAAGGTGTACCTAATGAAGTGGCTGGCGGGTGTCAGGTATACTGCACAGGTGTGTTACCTTGGCAAATTGGATGGCAAAGATCTTCTTGTATTTGAGGTCCATGAGGAGGCTGTTCATGAGTAGCTGGTGATAGATGTTCCTCGCTCCTGCAAACATGACAGATCAGCTGACCTCAACTTGCTCACATTTACTTGCAGCTCATCAACTCGCACACCATGAACAAACAGATCAAGGAGACTGCCATGCATCCAAACTGCAGCTAGTTAGAGTGCCTGTCAGTCACATTCAGCGCCAATCGAGAGTTTAAGACCACTTGAAAAATGGCCAAAAATCCTATTTTGCATTGTTGGATCTTCCAAGTTCCAAGTAGAGCTTCAACATGCAGAAACGGGAGTGAGACATAACATGCTTTGAGCATGCAGTTTACTGAAAACAACACTTATACTGAAACAGGCTGGTTTACAGCTGATCCAAAGTTTAGGACCACACGCCCAAAAAACCTGTGAAACAAATCAAAGTTCAGTAACGAGTCGCTCCACTGTTATTGCTGATCACGTCAAAAGTTCAGTGCGGCATGATTGCAAGTGTTTCCATGAGGTGAGTGGGAACAGACGGCTGCACGAAGGGCATCTACTGTCTGGAGCGGCTGTCCATTTTTGTAAACTTGCCTTGTAGACATGTAGTCAAGATGATATTATCCTATATCCTCGCACGTGATTGGCCACAATATGGAGGCATTGGAGCATAGCTGAGCCACTGTGTGAGAGCTGAGCAGAGAAAGGAAATTAAGTAAGGAGCCGTCTCTTGCTCAATGGGAGTCGACTGATTCACTACAAAGCACGGCTCTTAGAGCTGATGCTTTTGAAATGACACATTATCGAACGTTACGTTGTGTGTCATGGATACTGTTAACTCCAAATCTCTCGACCACTATGTCGATCTGAGACAGCGAGACCAAGACCACGTAAAAAGTGGTCTTGAGACCAAGACCGGTCTCGAGACATCCAACTCTATTGCCTTGCCGTCCATCCCCAAAAGTTCTCCATTGGATTTACGTCAAGGGAACATGCAGGATGGTCCAAAAGAGTGATGTTACTCTCCTGGAAGAAGTCCCTTGTCCTGCAGCATTGTGTACTGTAGCGTTGTCCTGCCGATAAACCCAGTGTTTATCACACAGATGAGGGCCCTCAGTCACGAGGATGCTCTCTGCAACATCTGGACATGGCCAGCAGCCGTTTGCCGCCCCTGCACCTCCTGAAGCTCCGTTGTTCCATTGAAGGAAAAAGCATCCCACATCAATATGGAGCCCCCTCACTGTGGGCGTAGCAAACACCTCAGGTGGGACCTGCTTATCATGGCAGTAACACTGCAAACCATCAGGACCATCAAAGTTACATTTGTTCTCATCGTCTAAGGAGCTTGCAAAGAAAAGCGTCTGGACTTCTTGAAGTTACTTGAAGACGTTTCACCTCTCATCCGAGAAGCTTCTTCAGTTCTAAGGTCAAATGGTGGAGAGCCCCAGATTTAAACCCTGTGGGAGTAACCCCCCGAGAGGGGACAATGGACCCCCTAATGGTCCTCTACCTAATCACATGAGCCAAGGTGTGAAAGTGGCTCATGTGATTAGGTAGAGGACCTTTCAATGTCCCATGTTTGGTCAAAACGGTCAGTTCTGTGGCGTCCAAGGAGACGAGGCCTTTGAAGACGTGTTTTGAGGCCGTCTGATGGTTATGGGGCTGCAGTCGGCACCAGGAACGGCCTTAATTTGGGTCGAGAGTTATCCAGTGTCTCGACGGACAGCCAACTGGATCCTCCGGCTCAGTGCTGATGACATTTTTTTGGGTCTTCCACTTGACTTTTGTTCCATAAACCTCAGGATCATTTAAGGAATTCCAAAAAACTGTCTCACTGCGTCCCACCTCAGTGACGGTGCTGTGAGAGACCATGCTTATGCAGTTCAACAACCCGACCGCGTTCAAAAAGGGAACATTTGTTTGCCTCTGCCATCAGAACGTCATGACAGTGTGACCACCTGACAGGAAATGACAGTGAATCCACATTTGTGCCCAGATTTGTCCTTTTAAAGGCATGTGGCCCGAAACGTTTGATCAGCTGTAAAACAGCCCGTTTCAGTTTGTGTTGTTTTCAATAAACTCCATGCTCAAATGTTTTGTCTCACTCACATTTCTGCATGTTAAAGCTCTAATTGGAACCTGGTGAAGATCCAACCATGCAAAATATGACTTTTGGCCACTTTTCAAGTGGTCTTAAACATTTAATTGGGACTGTATCTCTGCTGTGTGCCTTTGAAGGACCACCTCACGGATAAACACAAACTGTTTCACACCTGTTGGCTTCACGACCGTGGCCGTTCGAGCGCCATATGACTAGCAGCGGTACGTGCGGTTACCTTTCCACATCTTGGAGTCGTTGAGCATCAGTCGGTCGACAAGCGAGGAGTTCTCTCCCTCTGGACCTTTCTGCAATCCCACCTGACACAGGATCCTCCTCAGGCCGTCTAAAACACAGTCCACAGTCACCACATGCAGCAGCAGGGACACACACAGAGGAATTGTGGGTAATGAAGTCCACACGTACCAGAGTACTGAATGATCTGACCCAGCCAGCTCAGAGCCTTCAGAGCAAAACACTGATGAGCAACGACAGACGAGTGCATCACCTGAACCCGGAGAGGCTTTGACTGACGGCTGGTGTTTCTCTGAGGGGATAGGAGGAGGAGCAGAGAAGGAGGTGATGGGGACGTAGGAAGAGGAGGAGGTGAGACATTCTTTGGTTTCTTAAATAGTTGTGATGAGTAAAACCAGAAGGCAGTGATTGTAAATGAGTGCGACATTGAACGTCCCTGAAGCAGGCACCGTCAGCACCCCCCCACATCAGTTCAAGGCTTCCTGTCGTTTACCAAACTTGGAAACACTCACCACAATCACGGACTTGGCCTGTTCACAGAACTGGAAGTCTCCATACCGAACCGACTTCCTGCCCTGCGCGCACACACACAACAGATTCTTAGAATAATCACCAGAACATGAAAAACAAGAAGCTCCTCGTCACATTTCTGAGTTCCTATAAGCGTGTTACTGTGTGTGTTACTGTGTGTGTACTGACGTCTCGGTCCACCGTAGTGGCGAAGCTCACGGCCTCCTTCTGGCTGCAGCTGACAGCTTTCTGCAGCGTATAGATCACCTGCTCATACGTGTGCACTTCATCATTGAACAGCATGCAGTAGTAGGTGTCCTCTCGCTCCCTGCAGACACACACACACACACACAGTGTGAACGCTGCAGTATGACGCGTTTACTGTCACGTGTCTCAGGTAAAGGTAGAATGAGCCTACGGTGGCTGCAGGCCTGCGGGGAGCAGGTCCTCGTGCTCCCAGGTCAGCAGGTCGACGGCATACTTCAGGATGATGAAAAAGACACTGAACGCACGGCCGACCATGTCAGTGGGTAGCTGAGCTACGGGGTCCTGGAAGGACAAACAGCACAGAGTGAGCGCTCTGAGAGACGGGGTTACCATCCTAAGCCAGCTCAGTTCACACCAGCCTCTAATCAGTCTCTCACACTCAAACCACAGCTGTGAAGTATGTCTGAAGGTTCTCAGTCATCCCTGTCATCGTAGTCTAAGAAAGAAAAAGGCATCTGGACTTCTGCTTGAAGACGTTTCACCTCTCATCTGAGAAGCTTCTTCAGTTCTAAGGTCAAATGGTTTTTCTTTCCAAGCTCCTTAGACCACAGCTGTGAAGATCCTTCTTCCCTTCATCCAACACTGAGTAAAACGACCCACAATTACTGCCACTCAAAGACTCGTGCTGTCCTACAGAGGAAACACTTCACAATCCAAACTACAGGATCCAGGGAACGGAGGAAATATTTGCATGGCTGCTTTTATATTCTCTGAAGAGACGCTTAAGAACCTCCTCAAATAGGAACCTCCTTTTAATGTTTTAGTCGGGGAGCTCTCAGAGGACAACTTATCAGCGCTCAGGTCTGGTGAAAGTAAATAAGTAAAGAAATTTTTATTTATACAGCACCTTTCAAGATAAAATCACAAAGTGCTTCACAGAAGCTAAAACATAAAAACAAAAATCAACCAAAAGCAAGTTTAAAAAGATGAGTTTTTAGCTGTTTTTTTAAGAGAGACCACTGAGTCCACAGATCTCAGTAACACGGATCTTTATCTCCAATTTTAACCAGCTGTAATTCAAATGATGAAAAATGTCAGACCATTACTGAGCGACAGTCAAACCGGCTTCCAAACACTGCAGCGAGACGAACTCCTCGACCGGACATCCGAGGCTGGCTGATGAAGGAGTACCCGCCCGGGCAAAGCTCGATGAGGGATGAGTAGTCACCATCGCGCTGCCAGGTCTCAGTTAGAAATAAGAAATCCAGGGTTTGTTTGGAAAGAATAAAATCGTTCAACAAGAACGTTTTATTTGTCATTGATTGGGCATTAAAGAGCGCCACGCTCTGCGAGGTAGAAGTAGAATCATTAACAGAAATGGCTCAAATTAGGAAACGTAAAAACTGAAGGTTTGATCCGCAACCTTTGTAAATTCCACTCACTGTGCGGACAGAAGGCCAAACAACTGGAGAGTCTGTATAAACACTCCTGAGGTAGCATAGTCTCATAGGTCCAGGCCCTACATAATCAAGCTGGGACAAGGAAGAAAAATCCCCCTCCGTACAAACTGTCTGACCACAGGTGACTCAGCGTCGCTTACTAGCTCATCCTCGCTTCAGAAAAGTTTCACCTGAACACCTGCTCTCTGCAGAATGATCTGAACATTAAACTGAGAATAATCAAACGCATTGAAACATGCAGAAAAGTTTAAATACATCAAACAGATGATCGAGGTCAAAGGAGCGACTCACGTTCAGGCTGCACACCGTGGGGGGGCAGGGTCACAGACAGATGGGGTCATGTCATAAGCTCTGCTCAATTTGCTTGTTTTTCTAATTCTGTTCACGGCAGGAAGGTTTTTACTTAACGATAATTTAATAAACATTAAGTCAGACCGACAGACAGAGTCACAGATGGTTAAGGTGCTAACATACCGTCATCACACAGAGGCAGCCGTTTGTACCTGCGGTCACTTCACAAAGAGCCACTGTGGTATTTTTCTAAATGAAACATGTTGCCACGCCAACAATATCACGTCACACGCACTGATGACGAGGAGAACAAGTCAAGACCGGAAGCCAAGAGTTTGTCGAGTGTTTGTAGTTGCAAACATCACCCTCATATGTGTCAGTGTGTCTGTCCCTGTCTGATCATTTCCTGATAACATTTACATTTACAATAATTGATTACACAGCAGTGGAGAGTAGACGTTTATCACAGTAGATGTCTTTCTGAAAGCGCTGTAACTAAGTTTAAGAATATAATCCA